GGCGTTGGAGATTTATCTACCTTAATGTTTTTAAGACACCCAAGATTGCCCCCTGACATGCCCTAGAATATCAATATACCCCTTCCAAATCTTACCATCATCCATGTGCCTCTCCTTAGTGAATACCAATGCAAAGTATTCACTAAGGACCTCATCCACTTTGTGGTTCCAAGTATAAGTTCTCTCCTCTGACCCTGAGTTGACCTACCCTTTCCCTAGTTATCCTCTTACTCCTAATATACATATAAAATGTCTTAGGATTCTCCTTAATCCTACATGTCAAGGACATTTCATGGTCCTTTCTCGCCTTCCCAATTTCTTGTTTAAGTTCTTTCCTGGAGATGGTCATTATCTGGCATATGGTGGCAGGAAAGTTACTTGCCACTTGTCAGTCCAAATCTGCACCATTGGTGAGTTTTAACACGGATTGCTTAAGTATCTGAGGAGCAGCAAATGATGCTGAACATTGTGTAGACATCAGTGAACATATCTATGTGGAGGCTATTTATGAAGCAGCTGAAGACTGTTGGGCCTAAGTCACAACTCTTTGAAATTTCTGTAAAGGTATCCTGGAGCTGTAACACTTTCAAGAACCACCACCACCTTCCTTCAGCCAGTTATGACTCCAAACAAAATTTCATTGACTCTAGTTTCTCTAAGGCTCTTCAGTGCCACACTTAAGGCAACCCAGCCATTGATGACAAGAGCAATCATTCTCATCTTTTTTTCCACGTTTAAACGAAGGCTGTAATAAGGTCAGGAATTGAGTGGCTCTGGCAAAACCCAAACAGAGAGCAGATTATTGCTGAGCAGGTACTGCTGGATGGTATTTCTTTCCATCACTTTACTGATAATCAAGAGTAAACTAATGGAGCGGTAATTGACCAAGGTTGGATTTGTCCTACTCTTCGTGTAGAGTTTACACCTGGGCAATTTGCCACATTGTAAGGTAGATGCCAGAGATGCCAGTACTGTACTTGCACTGGAACTGCTTTGCTAGGGGCACAGCATGTTCTGGAGCATAAATCTTCAGTGTGATTGCCAGAATGTTTTCACGGCCCTGAGCCTTTGCAGTATCCTGTGATTTCAGCCATTCTTGATATTACCTAAAGTGAACAGAATTAGCTGATGACTAACATCTATGATACTGGGGACCTCAGGTGGAGGCCAAGATGGATCATCCATTTGTCAATTCTGGCTGAAGATTGTTGTAAATGCTTCAGCCTTATCTTTGCTTTAATTGAGGATGAGGATATTTGTGGAGTCGCCTCCTTCTGTGAGTGGTTTAATTGTCCGCTAACTTTCAAAACTGGAAGTGGTAGGATATCAGATCTTGCAGGAAACCCACATAGACACAGGGAGAATGTCCTGCTTCCACCCTTTTTGAGGAGGAGAGCTTCAAAGACTCATGACCTTCTGTCAGAAATAATTTAAACTCACCTCTGTCTTAAAATGAGTAATTGCTTACCTTTTATTCCTCCAGCCAAAATGGGCAATTTCACATTTTCCCATGTTACACTCAAATTAGCAAATTTAAATTGCCAATTCACTTAGCCTATCTATACCCCTTTGTACCATTCTCACATTCTTCTTCACAACTTACTTTCATACATATCTTTCAGTCATCAACAAATTTAGCAACTATTACTTTAGTCCTTCGTCCAAGTCACTTATATATAAATTGTGAAAAAGTTGAGGCCACAACATAGTCCCTATAATCACTTGTTAAATCTCGCCAGCCAGGAAAAGAGACATCTATGCGTCCTGTTCCTCATTAGCTAGTCAATCTTTTTCCAGTCCTAACTGTTTCCCCCTACAACATAAGTTTCTATTTTCTGTAATTATGTTGTTGTGGCACCTTATCAAATATCTTCTAGAAATCTAAAGGCATTACATGCACCCGTTTACTATAGCATATGCGACTTCCTCAAAGAGCTCTGATACAAAACAGAACATTGAACAGTACAGCACAGAAAAAGGCCCTGTGATTCTAGGTCAGCAGCAACCATGTTGCCGTTCTAAACTAGTCCCGTCTGTCTGCACATGGCCCATTGTCGCTCTATTTCCTGCCTGTTTATATATGTGTCTAAATGCCTCTTAATATTTGCTGTCATATCTGCTTCTACCACCTCCCCTTGCAGCACATTCCAAGCACCTAACATCCTATAGGTTACAACTGGAAGACTGTGGATTTGTGTTTGGCTGACGAAACACCCACAGCTAGAAGAAAGGTAGAACTGTTAAGAAATAATGATCTCAGTGTAAGGGATTAAATTTCAAAAGTTACAGACAAGAGGCATTTGATTAAAACCCTACAGTATTTGAAGCTGAGAAAGTCTAAGCTCAGCTCTATGAAGACTCAAGGAAGAGGCTTTCAGATTTTCAACATCACAAATTGAAGCAGTTTATCTCACCTGTAGGGGATAAATTAAGATGGAAATTCTCTCTGGTTTGAGTAATGCACTACTCTTAGGATTAATCAAATTTTATTTTACAGTGGGTTACAGGACAAAACCAATTTATGATGCAAGTAAACAAACCACTTGATTCGACCAAGTTACTCCATATGAAAGGTTTTGTAAGAATATCTGCCTTTCAGCAATGACAATCATTACTCTCTCCTCCTCCTCCTCCATCAACATTTTTCTTCTCCAGAGGCAAGTGTCTTAGCTTTCTGAAGGTTTGGAGTGCTAATCTCTTTGTATGCTTTAGCTGGTGCAGAGGTTTTAGAAATCAAAAGAGATCAGGCTTAATAATGGCTAAAGTTCAGCATGTTAAACTTTTTTTATTAAAAAAAAACTTCAGTTTTTAAAAAGTGAGCAAGCTGTGAATGTGCAGAAAAATACTTTCAACGAAAACCATAATGTTCACATTGATGACAAAAAAAAGTTGCCCGAGTTCTATATGATCAATCATAACAGAATAAATGTGGTAGTTTTGAGAGATCAGAACCAAGCTAACATGGGTAGAAATACGAACAGAAGCTTAGTCAACTAAGTCCAGCAATCCACAGTACTTCGATACAGAAATGTTTCAGTGGTCTCACATTTTATAAGGCTGACTATATCATAGCAGTCTCATTCACATGGAATAGCTTCAAATGCATTGTTTTTTTTCGCAGCAATCTTGCAGAAGTGGTACATCTACAACTCCACAGCAATTTGATTCGCCCAGTTTTGACAAATTTTATTTTTGGTCCAAAGCAGCAATGGGTTTTAGTTCCTAAAGGGTGCTTCAGAGCACAGTCAATAACTTCATTTTCATTTTAACAGTTAAACAATTTTATACTCCTGAACGGATCAGGCCAAAAGATTCCCCAAGTAGTGAACAGACTGGAGAAGATTATAACTTTTCTGACACATTAATTCACCAAAGATGCTTACCTCATCTACAGTTTAATGTGGTCAAAACAAAGTCTGCAGCCTGAAGCTAAACTTAAACAGTTCCAAGATAGAGGACCAATTTCTGAAACTATTCTGCAAACACAAGCATCTTTAATATGCTGTTATATGTATTTGCTAAAACTGGAATGTACAACATGGAATATCCTGTAGAAATTATTTCTATTTTGAAATACATTGAATACAGAAACCTAATACATGTCTCAACTCAAGTAACGAAAAATTGATAACAAAAATTTCCAGTTTGGTGTTACTTGCAATCACAAACAGAACTTTTAAAATCTTTACTACTGAAGAATTTTGTGTAGCAGTAAATTGTGACCAGTTTTAAAGATTAGCTTTATAAAATAACAAAAATAATAAATCATCACAGACACATGAAAAATGTTTGCTGAACGGTTGGATTAAAGCAAATCGCAGAGACCCGAGTAATCCATTGTTTTAGAGACTAAGGCACTTGTATCTCTACGTCACAAACCTGGGTATTTTTGGAAAAGTGGCAACCAGCTTATAACCACACATTAAACCACCTATTACATGTGGGCAGATGATGAATAAGGAGTGTTTTTCAAAATCAGAAACAAAGCTAAAAAATGACTGCTGATCCAATACAAGACAGCAAATAATGGAATTAAATTAATCCTGTAAACTTTGAAATTTTACAGTGATAACCAAAGTAGCCCATATATTTCCATCACGGTCATTAAAAGCTTTCACAAATTTTATGAAGTATTTTAAAATTTATTAAATGCCATTAATTTTCTTGCTTTTATATTGGGTCTTCTGTGGTTTTAAAACTTGCCCAAAACTGTTGCGAGAAGAGCCATTCTCACGTACATGCCATTTTCAGCTTGGCGAAAGTAAGCTGCCCGCGGATCAGAATCCACCTCCACACTGAAGAGAAACAAAGGTATTAGTATTGTAAATGTAAACTCGGTAAGTATAGGATTCAATTCAGTTAAAATCCAAAATTAAGATGTATACCAAGGATTAACTATATCGTTTTTATTTCTTAAGTGAAAAATTTGACTATAGTTTCAATCCCATGTTAAATCTCACCAAAGGAGGAGAGAGACTAGGGAAAGGTTTGTTCCCTAATTGGCCAAATGCATCTGTTTTCAGTCAACTGTCATCAACAGTAAAGTGGATCACTGGTGCTGTCAAAATAATAGCTTTGTGGCAAGTGAAGTAAGAGGAGAATGATTAGAAACTGAACAGTTAAAATGGTCAATATACAACATCGCTGAATTTATAATTATTTTAATTCTTGTGACAGTTGTATATAACGAACATTTTCAGTCGTCAAGCAAAAACAACATTTCTGTTGCATGAAGTGATGGATGATTCAGGAAAGGAGTGTGTAAAGTCTCTGCCCTGCTCAAGCAGCCCTGAAGATGAATGTAGTTACTGCATTTCTCTGCCTTGTCTAGATTTTGGACATCATTTTAATTTTATCAAACAGCTGTTAATCAGATGCCAACAATTCCAGAAATGCAGGATTTTATCAGTAAGGGGTAGCACGGTAGCTCAATGGTTAGCACTGCTGCCTCACAGCAGCAGGGGCCTGGGTTTGATTCCACCCTCGCATGACTGTCTGTGTGGAGTTTGCACATTCTCCCCGTGTCTGCATGGGTTTCTGCCGGGTGCTCCGGTTTCCTCCTGCAGTCACAAAGTTGTGCAGGTTAGGTGAGTTGGCTATTATAAATTGCCCTGTAGAGTGCAGGAATATGTAGGTTAGGTGTGTTGGCCATGGGAAACACAGTGTAGGGGGATGGTTTTGGGTGGGATGCTCTCCGGTGGACCTGCTGGGCTGAATGGCCTGTTTCCACACTGTAGGGATTCTATGATGGTCTACAAATACAACTCTACTTTTCAAAACTGCCATCATTTGCATTGTTAAATTGACCACCTTTAACACTTATCCTACCTTCATTTTTAATCTTGTGTTTCTCACCAAATCCTCACTTATGTTGTTGCCTTGCCCATGTTTTTGTAATTCACTCAATATTTCCCTCCCTGCAACAGATTTACAAGTATCATCCCTACGAACTGTGGTGCATAATCTTCCTCGTACTCCCCTCTAATTGTTCATTACTAAACTATCATCGTCCACTGCCCTTGCTCCATTATTCAGCCCAGAAGACTGCCTTTGCTTGGTTCTACCCTTATGAAATTGAAGCCACAGCAAACTGAACAATGGCTTTTCTTCTTATCCACAGTACAATTATCTTTGCACCCAACCAGGACATATCATTCACAAACTTGCCTTTGCTCATCGAAACGTTGCTTCAGGCCCTATCGTTCACGAGGTCAGCTGCATAGGTATACTAATAACACCCAAATTTACTCCTCCATTCTTTCTCTCCAGGCCTGAATATCACCAGTTGTCAAATGCTCGACTGATAGCAGGGACTGGACAGCAGACAGGCAGGCAGGTGGTCAACAAGAACAGTGGAAGGTGAGGTAGATATGATTCTGAAGTACATATGGAATCTAAAGTCACACTGTTCCTATTTCTTATGGTCTTATAAAAGGTAAGTGAAAATACTTGTTTGGACAAGTCTATAGAGCAACAGTGAGGAAATGATGCTCCAAAACATGTAAAAAAAAATCAATTTAAGTGGTAATGCTTTATATCCAGCTCAGGACAAAGCTCTGTACAGATTAATGCAACAAAGTAATGAATGCTACAATTTAAACTAAACTACTAGCTCTCTGATGTCCTCAAATAAAGCAGATCAACACGTGGTCAAGAGCAGTCTGAAGTGATCTGACTGTCAGGTTTCCTATTTCTTCCACAGTGAAGCACCTTGTCTCTGTGCTCACCAATCTCATGTTCTATCTAGCGTTGCAATTGCATTGTGGAACTGAAACAATAGGTTTTACCATCTCCGACTTTACATTATCTTATGCATATTCACACAAGTAAATTCAACATTCAAACAACTAAGTATACAATATATTTCTGAATACCAATAGGCACATAAAAAGTTTCAGTGCGAACATATGTACATAGGTCTTACCTAACTTCATTAACTCGTGGCAACGGATGCATAACCACCATTTTCTTCTTGCCTTTTGTCATGATGTGAGGTGTGAGAATAAACTGTCCAAAACACTTGGATGGGTAATGTAGGGTCAGGTGGGCAGAAAAAAAATTACAATTAATTGAGGAATTGCTGAAATAAGAACAAAGTGGAGGATCACAAAATGCACTGTTTCTACACCAGTACACAATCGTCAAGGAGAGTAAACTATGGAGCAAAATGTTGTTGATTTCCATCAAAAATGCAGAAAAGCTCTTGACAGTGAGAGAGATTGACAGTGACAGACAAATAGCTAGCAAGAGGGTGTAGAGAGAGACCGCGCACACGAGAGACAAGCCAGCAGGCAACAGAACATGTGCAAGGGGTGGGGGGATGGCTCGTAGGCGGGCAAGGGGGACGGGGAGTGGGCGCTCCATTTTCGGGTTGTACACTGTAAAGATAGACACAAAATAACTGTTTAAAATCTCTGCCACGTCCTTGTTTCCCAATATTAACTTCTTCGTCTCATTCGCCAATGGAGGAACATTGCTAGTTTAATTACTCCACTTTAGTGTCTTTTTGTCACCCTTTGCTCATTTCTAAAGTTCTCTCAACCTCCTGTACATCAATATTCTTTACAGCATTTCAGGCAGTTTCTTCCAATTCAATGATTGTTAGCTTCTTTGTTAGTATAGATACGGCATTCTTCTTACATAGTCTTTTGATAGAATTCATCTTCATTGAGTGTTTCAGAATATGCTTAAAATTCTGCCACTGCTTATTTATGGTCTTATATTTTAATCAATTTTCCCAGTACACTGCAGCCAACAGTGCCTTCATATGCTCACAATTGCCTTTATTTAAGACACTATTTTTAGACCAAGTTTCCTACCTTCAAACTGAATGCAGACTCTACAACGTGATCACTGTTGCATCGAAGATTCTTCACTGCAAGCTCATTAATTAATCCACTTTCCATTACACACCATCAAGTCTAACATATTATTCTTTGTTCTGGAATCAGGCTAAGAACATGTCCCTAATACACTCTATAAACATTCATCTTCAAGCTATCTTTGCAATCATTTTTGGTTTTGTTAGGTAAATTGGTTGAAGAAACTGAAATTTTAATTGCTGTTCTAGAATTCGACATTTGAATTTCAAATAGGTGGGGGGAAAGTTCTAAGATTCTCTTTAATGTATCTTAAATTATTACCGCTTTGTACTCTTCCTCCGAGGCAAATCTTTCTTTTTGAATCCTAGTCATGTATAACACATCAGTATCTGGCAAAGCCTCTTCCAAACTGTCAAATTCCTCCTGTGTATGCAAATGTGTGTTAATATGCAGGCTTGAAAGTAAACAGCAAAACGGATTTAAAATTTCTTTAAATGCACAGTTCACGTATTGAGGTTCCTTAGACTCGAAGAGTAACAGTCCACTTCTCAGAACATGCTTACTGGGCACATAACAGAAGTTTAATATTCAACACTACCACTTTCGAAAGTGAGCACTTCAAATTAAATTGCAGTTAGTCTATATGTCATCAGTTTTGCTCACCTGCTTGATTCCTCTAGACGCCAGAAAATGTACAATGTTTTGTGGCATCCGAAGGTTTTTGGGAGTAACATATCGGAGATTAACACGGTACAATGTAAGAAGGTAAGCCAGCGAATGTACTGTTCTCCCATGTTTCAGGTCTCCAACCATCGTAATCTATCAATCAAGTAAATTTAAGTGGTAAAAATAATTATTATTTTAATGAGTTTGGCCCCAGATTGCTAACATTTATGCATATGCCAAGTTGGACTGTTCCTTATTAAATGTGACATCTGGTAAGATCCAGTGACAATATATGCAGAAGACATTTAATAACTGTAAAACATTTTATTAATAGATTATTAATAATAATGCCTGCAAGATGTGGTAGCAGCTGGAGATTCTCAAGGCAGTATGTACACACTATGCTAAAAATCAATTAACAAGAGCTGTTTAGACGCTAGAAATTATGGAAACACTTCAAAGCTTTCCAGCATGTTTATTTAAGGATTCATCAAACTATAATTTTACATTTTCATAAACACAGAAATAACTGTGGATGCTGTAAATTAGAAACAAAAACAGAAGCTGCTGGAAAAGCTCAGCAGGTCTGGTAGTATGTGTGAAGAGAAAGCAAAGATAATGTTTCAGGTTTGGTGACCCTTCCTCAGGACTGATGGTAGGTAGAAAAATGTCAGTTAAGTGCAGTTTCATTTAGTATTTTCACGTTATTGCAGTTTAGCATGCATTAAATTCACAACTTCCTGCATCAAAATCAAATTTAAAAAAGGGGATAAAACTGCATGCTACTTGCAAATTAACATTCCAATAGTCTGATCACCTGGAATAACCAAGTTCATCCACAAAACTATCCAGCTATAGCAGTAAAAAAAAATTGAAAATTTCAATCGGGGATGAGTATGCTGGGGAGTTGCTTTCTTGAATCACTGCAGTTCATCTGGTGCGACTTTGACCCAGTGAGTGTGAAGGAACAGTGACATACTTCCAAGTAAGGATGATGAGTGGCTTTAAGTGGAACTTGCAGGTGGCCGTGTTCTCACGTATCTGCTGCCCTTGTTTCTGGTACAAAACAAACCCAGTGCTACCCACAGTTAAACTACTCTAACTGGATTACAAGAGGTTTAAATAAATCATTTTCTTACTCAGGCTTAGGCACAAGATTCTGATATTTTTATTCATTCAAAGGCTGTGGATGTCTCTGGCTATGTCAGCCTTTATTGTCCATTATCAATTATCTTCTAAAGGTGGTGGTGAGCTTCTTGAAATGCTGCAGTCCAGTGGACTACGTAAATCAACAATACCATTAGGGACGGAGTCCCAGTATTTTGACCTAATTACAGTAAAAGAACAGTGATATATTTCCAGATCAGAGTGGTGTGGGCCTTGGGAGAGCAATGTGTAGACAATGGTGATCCCATACATCTTATGCCCTTGTCCATCTAGGCCACAAGAATCATGGGCTTAAAAGGTACCATCAAAAGAGCCTTGTTGAGTTGTGTAGTGCATCTTGTAAATGGCATGCAATGCTGCTGCTGTGTGTTGGCAATGAGGGAATGTCTTGTGGATGATGAACTTTGGTAAATTAACACGGAAGTTACTTGCTGCAAAATTATTCATGTGAAAAATATATCTTACCGTCATTCCATTCACTGTCCCCAGCTCCTCACGAATTGTAAAAATGTCAAGCAATGCCTGAGTTGGGTGCTCACCAACACCATCTCCTGCATTAATAATAGGCTTTCGGCAATGTTTAGCAGCAAGCTGAAAGAAAAAGATGTATGGAAATCGTTATGTTTCATAATTGCTATTTATGTGTCATCAAAGATACACTTAAGCACATGGAGTGGAAATTACACTGAGCAACACATTCAGGATCCAAGCCAGCCCAATCGGATGTCACACAAAAAAATTGAGCTAGTTATTTATAATGATGATGTGAAGGTGCCAGTGTTGGTCTGGGGTGCACAAAGTCAGAAGTTGCGCGACACCAGGTTATAGTCCAAACACGTTTATTTGAAATCACACGCAATTGGTGTGCTTCTCCTCCATCAATTCATCTGGACCATAATCTGGTGCTGTGTGATTTCTGACTATGTATAAATGATGTTTAAATAAACTTAGAAACGTACAAAAATTCAATACAGAACTTGAGCATTCTTTCTTAAATGTGTAATCACTTCTCTTTCACCTTAAATCTCTCTCATCCACTCTTAACTGCCAAACCTTTTCACTTAAATTCTTAGCAACTGTTCAATTAGACTTTTGTCTTCACCAGTTCTAGATCATTATATTTACACAATAGAAACAGCGCTTAATTCATTCCATTAATTTTGTCTATCCTGTTATATGACCTGCATAGAAATTATTTCCATAAACTTGTAAAAAGAAATTCGAACATCCAGTTGATAGCTGAAAGGATGGCAAGAATTTACATTAATACTTTTATTGTAGTCAGTGCTATTAGTTTCAAAAACAAAGTTGCTGGAAAAGCTCAGCAGGTCTGGCAGCATCTGTGAAGGAGAAAACAAAGTTAACGTTTCGGGTCCGGTGACCCTTCCTCAGCTGCTGAGCTTTTCCAGCAACTTTGTTTGTGTTCCTGATTTACAGCATCCACAGTTCTTTTGGTTTTTATTTAGTGCTATTAGTTTGTTTGCTAAACATTATTTTTATAAGCAACTGATACTTTAAATAATAGAACATTGCTATTCTTAATGCAAACAAAAATCTACTTCTCAGGTGTATTTATGCTGAGCCTTTAGCAGCCATTCAATTTTCCCAAATCCAGTTCAAAACACTTAGTTCCCAGCAGTTCACTTCCATTCTTTTCCTTTCTTAGTCTGGTTACATTCTAACCTTGGATTGCCTTTACAGTGAGATCTTTTCCTAGCAATTGTCCCTTTAGTGCAAGCTAAGGGAATTTTCCCATTTTAATCTAATCTTCACAAACTTGATTGTTTCAACATGAGCAAATGCCCTGACCACATTTCTGCATGATGAACCAGAAAGACTTATAGTCCTGAAGAAGGGTTCTGACCCGATATGTTGATTTCCCTGTCCCTCGGATGCTGTCTGACCTGCTGTGCTTTTCCAGCTCCATACTATTTGACTCTAACTTCCAGCATCTGCATTCCTTTCCTCTTGCCCTTTCTTGCAGATCTTGTCAAACTGTGCCTGAGTGTTTCAGGAATATCCCAGAAAACCTTTCCTTTTAATCTCAGCTCTAAGGAAACATGAATCACATAGCTATTGTATTCAAGTCAAAATGTGGATTAGCTATCCTCGAGCTACCAACTCTTTCTTAGAAGTAAATGAACAGTTTAAAGCGCAACTACTTACAACCCAACATCCTCAATACCTTCCTGGGTCCTGGGTTATCCTGGCTAGCAGTTTAATCATCGTAAAAAAACGATGTTGGTATTGTCTCTAAGCATGAACACTTTCCAGCTTCTTTCCAGCAAAGCAACCCGACTTCTCAGTAATCATTAACAGCCATGTGATCTACACCTGTCATTAGGCAGACCTCAGAACAAATCATACAACCATTTAATGTTGTCCTACAGATGTCATTTTTAACCCTGCACAATTTTCTACTTTCTACGTTTCTCTTGGATCCGTGAGACACTGTAGGAAATTAGCCCATGGTAGAACAGTAGGGCTAGCTGGAAGCAGTATCTTACAAAAGACCTAATAAAGTTAAAGCTAAAACTTCTCAATGTGAAAGAATACCATTGGCAGCCAAAACAAAGGAAAATTTAGCAGAAAGTTTATGTAAAACAACCCAAACATTAAACTTGGAACTAGTTCCTCAGTACCTCAGAAATAATCTTCACTAATTAAACCACTTATGCAACAATCTACTGAATAAACCTCAGAATACACCAACCTCATTTACAATGAGTATAAGAACAATCATATTCTTATTTCACACCTCTAGTGCAAAGCAAAGCAATCAAGCTCTCTATTTAAATTACACAATTAAATTGATATCAAATCCAACAAATAAGAGCTTTATCTTTCTTTCTAAACGCAATTATAAGCTCTTAGAAAGCTTTTAGAAAGAAAGATAAACTTTTTTTAATATACTGTGTATGTAAAACAACACACAAGGTTTTATGAGATAACAAGGTGTAGAGCTGGACGAACACAGCAGGCCAAGCAGCATCAGAGGAGCAGGAAGGCTGACGTTTTGGACCTAGACCCTTCTTCAGAAAACTTCATTTCTGAAGAAGGGTCTAGGCCCAAAACATCAGCCTTCCTGCTCCTCTGATGCTGCTTGGCCTGCTGTGTTCGTCCAGCTCTACACCTTGTTATCTCAGATTTTCCAGCATCTGCAGTTCCTACTATCTCTGACACAAGGTTTTATGTTCATTTTTACAAATGTATGAAGAAGCAGATTTATACCAATTTTCTCTAGGTGAAGAATCCCAGAAAATTAAGCTATTATCAAATAATATCTTGCACCCAGGAGATTCAAAGACATACCTCAACTGCATCTGGCTGAGGATGGCGCAGAACCAAGACATCCACATAGCAGCTCATTGTCTGTACAGAATCTAAGAGAGACTCTCCTTTTTGTACAGATGAAGTAGCTTCTGAAAAATGAATCACAGAACCTCCAAGGCGTTGCATGGCAGCAGCAAATGAACTACTAGTTCTTGTGCTGACCTCATAAAACATGGAAGCCATAACTTTTCCCTTTAGTAAGAAAATAAAAATGTTAGAATTAGAATCTCTGCTTTTTGAAACTTATTCCGATGCTTCAAAATCATTAAAAAATGTTAGGACATTATAGTTGAATATGGTTTTAATGATTTGTATTATGTAGCACAGTGATGACTAACTTAAAAATTCATTAATTGGATGTTAACATTGCTGGCTGGACCAGCATTTACTTCCCATCCCTAATTATCCAAGAAGGTGATAATGAGCAACCTTCTTGAAATCCATTTGGTGTAGGTAGACCCACAATGCTGTTAGGGAGGGCAGTCCATGATTTTTGACTCAACAACACTGAGGGAACAGCAACTTATTTCCAAATCTGATGATGAGTGGCTTGGATTGGAACTTGCAGGTGGTGCTAGTCCTACATGCTTACTACCCTCATCTTCTAGATGGTTGTAGGTTTTGGCGGTGCTGTCTAAGGAGCCTTGATGAACTTCTGCAGAGCATCTGTCAATGGAATATGCTGTTGCAACTGATCGTCTGCTGTGGAACGACTGGCTGTTTGTGGATGCAGTACCAATCAAGTGAGCTGCATTGTGGGGTTAAGCTTCTTGACTGTTGTTGGAGCTGCATCATACTTGTGCCTTGTAAATGGTGGACAGACTTGAGAGTCAGGAGGCAAGTTACTCACTGTAGGATTCCTAGCATTTGACCTGCCCTTATAGTTGCAGTATTTATGTGGTGAGTCCAGTTCCATTTCTGGTCAATGGTTACCCCCGAAATATTGATCATGAGGGATGCAGTTGGGAATGCCACTGAATGTCAAGGAGTATGGTTAGATTCTCTCTTATTGGATATTTTCATCACTCAACTGTTGCCTATATAGAAGGCAAACCAGTACTTACTTAATACTTCAGTGTCATCAGCAGCCTAGAATGAAATAGAATTTGAAAGTTTGGACAAGATGGATGAATAGCAGAATTGAGGTTACCAGTCTCAACTTTGCATCTTGTATTCATTCTCAACAAACCAGTATTCTCATAAGTCATGAATCCCACAAGCATTTGTCATGAAATGGAAGACATCCCAGGGCATTTCAGAATGAAGAAAAAAGTATGGATGTTGAGAAAATAGATATTCCAGGGCATTTCAGAATGAAGAAAAAGTACGGATATTGAGAAAATAGATGGCAACGTTTGTTTGTAGCACCAATAGACCATGTACATATGCAGTGTCAGTGACAAGAAACCACTTTTAATAGAGACGTTTTTACAATAGCAAAAGTTTCGGTTTCTAACTCTTAAAATGCCTTGTTTCCAATATACTACTTCATTGCTCTGAATTTGGTTATGATGGAGATGGAAAGGCTTGCAAATGACCACTTAAAGCAGTACAGTTTTTCCAAATATAACAGTGTGGAGTTGGAAGAGCACAGCAGGCCAGGCAGCATCAGAGGAGCAGGAAAGTTGACGTTTCGGGTCGGGACTCTTCTTCAGAAGTGGGGGAGGGGGAAGGGAGCTCCGAAATAAATAGAAAGGAGGGGTGGGGCTGGGAAAGGTAGGTGGGATTGTGATGGGTGAGTGCAGGTAGGCAGTGGTGGGGATTGGTCAGTGAAGTGGGAGGAGCAGATAGGTGGGAGAGAAGATGGACAGATTGCGTCAGATCAAGGAGGCGGGGTGATTTTGAAACTGGTAAAGTCCATATTGAGACCACTGGGTTCTAGGCTCCCAAGGCAGAATATGAGGTGCTGCTCCTCCAAGTTCCGGATGGCGTCATTGTGACACTGGAGGTGACCCAGGATGGACACGTTGCGCAGGGAGTGGGGGGTGGTGGGGGTGGGGGTGGTGGGGTGGGGGGAAAGAGTTGAAAATGGTTCACGACTGGAAGGTGTTGTCGTTTATCATGAACAGAGCGCAGGTGCTCTACAAAGTGGTCTCCGAGCCTCCACTTGGTCTCACCAATGTAGAGGAGGCCACACTAGGAGCAGCGGATGCAATAGACCATATTGATGGATGTGCCAGTAAACCTCTGTCTGATATGAAAGGTTTGTTTGGTGTCTTGGGTGGAGGTGAGGGGGGAGGTGTATTGTTAGGTGTAGCACTTGCGGTTGCAGGGAAAGGTGCTGGGGATGGTGGGGCTAGTAGGAAGTGTGGAAGGAAATACATCTTTGGTTGTGGGGGCGGATTGCAAGTAGCGGATGGGGCAGAAAATGATACGTTGAATACAGAGGTTATTGGGGTGATACATGAGGGCAAGGGGGATTCTGTCTTTGTTTTGTGTTGCAGGGAGAGAATGTGAGGATAGAGGTGCGGGAAACGCAAGAGATGCAGTCAAGAGCATTTTCGACTACCGAAGGTGGGGGAAGTTGCGGTACTTGAAATAAGAGGACATTTGGGATGTTTGGGAGTGGAACGCCCCATCTTAGGAGCAGATGCAGCAGAGGCGGAGGAATTGGGAGTAGGGGATCGCATTCTTGCAGGAAGGTGGGTGAGACGAGGTGTCGTCTAGGTAACTGTAGGAGTCGGTGGGCTTGAAATAGATGTCAGTTTCGAGGCGGTCATCAGAGATGGAAACAAAGAGGTCCAGGAAGGAGAGAGAGGTATCAGAGATGGTCCAGGTGAACTTGAGTTTGGGGTGAAAGGTGTTAGTAAAATTGTTCAAGCTCCTCGTGGGAGCACGAGGCAGAGCCAACTCAGTCATTGATGTAGCAGAGGAACAGGTGGGGAATAGTGCCAATGTAGCTGCAGAAGAGGGACTGTTCCATATATCCTACGAAGAGGCAGGCATAGCTTGGGCCCATGCGGGTTCCCATGGCCACCCATGGAAGTAGGAAGTAGAGGTAGGAAGTTTTTCAAATAGTTATTCAAGTAGTACATAGTGTGGCCTTTTGACGACTGGTAAAATAAATTTTAAGAAGTTAGAAAAACATATTCAAAAATCACCTAATGATGGGCTTGTAATTACGGCCCTGGGATAACAATCCCATCATCTAATGGTGCTAGCCAGATAGTCTCAGAATACTCTGCACAAAGCCTTTCCAACCTATCTGCAATTGTGACACTGTGGCAGCACGGGTTGAATGTGCACGTACAACTATTCCTGGTACATTTCGGTTTGAGGCAGATGGTGTAGTAAAAGCAATAATCAAAAAATAAATAAAGGTTTTTTGGCAGGAAGCAAGGGAGTTTTGAAAACAGGATCTGACAAGACAGAGAGAATGGCATTGGGAATGGACATGGATAAGTGGCTGATCGCATGGCCAATAATGGAGGACAAGGAGTGAGCAAAGTGAAGGACGAACATGGGAATACTGGACTGATATACTGGGAGCCAGAGAAGCTGGGAGATGATGGGACTAAAAACTAGGTGTTTGTGGAGGCAGTCTTTATTATTAGAAAGAACTGCAATTTGTTGATGGCTGAACCAAGGACTTTGGCTCAGAAATATTATTAAGATCAATCTTCGAGGCAAAAGAGTTCAATAGCAATGGAGTAGGAATGGAGGAGAGCATTGCATGGTATTAAAAAAAAAAACTGTCTTTTTAACATGAGGAGGTTCAGCAGTATGGCGAATTGCACAAAATACAGAGACAGACAGATAGAGTTGCATATTGTCAGCATGGGTGTGGAAACTGACCCCATTCTTCTGAATAATATCACTAACGAATAGCATGCAAATGGTGAAGTGAATGAGTCTTGGATTGGTGGATCTTGAATAAATACAGACACTAAGAACTGCTGAACAAAGTGACAAATGTAAATAAAAGCATCTAGAACATCTGCAACATAATGCGAAGACACCCAGCCTTTGGGATCAATGTCATAAATTAATTAAAATTGTTTAAAAACAAACCTTTAGAAGGTCCAAACTACGATCTTTCTGCACCGTTAAACGCAGGTTATGAGCAAGATTGAACAAATGGGACAACTACACACAAAAAAGAAAGAAGATCAACATATACAAAAGTTCTTACAACACACAGACCGAATATAGATATGCAATTAATATTAACTACATTTTTCCTCGACTTCTCTTCACAATAAACTTTCAATACAGGCTAGGGATACCTTTACAACTCAGCACTTACAAGTTAACATGATTATAACTCTGGCACAACTAACAGCGGTAGTTTCCCTAATCAGCATGCAAGTATCCAACTAACTTCATTTTTCTGATATTTTGAGAGTACTTAATCCAAGTCATGAAGAGAGATCAGATGTTGGATGTACCACAGTTATAGTCTTCAGTCTGTACATCTCCTCTGTACACACCTCAAATTATTTATTATATAAATAAAACCATTCTACCAAAGAAATTTCTTTAGGTATCCCAAAAATCCTATAAGGCCCATGGATTCTTTTTAAAAATATTGTTCCTGGGATGTGAGTGCCACTGGCAAGAAGAACATTTATTGCCCATTCATAATTGCCTATGAGAAGATGGTGGTAAGCCCCTTTGTGAAATGCTGCAGTCCATGTGGCTTAGGTGTTTCTTTCAGTGTATTTCAGAATGCAGTTAAGATCCAACCAAACTGCTGTGGACCTGGCATTGTGTGTTGGCCGATCAGATAAGGAAGGAAGATTTTCACTAAGGAGGACACGAGTAAACCAGATGGTTATTACACCAATCCAGGAGTTCCATAATTATTAATCAGACTTATATTTGCCAGATTTATTAACTGAATGCACATTCCCCCACGGTGAGGTTTGAATCTATGTTTCCCAATAATCTGATCCAGCCTGTGGACCTTTCACATGTTCTTAAATTCTCTTGGTGAAAGTATTAGAGACATCAAATGCATAAACAGGGACAACAAAGCACAGTACACCAAGATTACAGACATGTGTTTGTACGTTTGAATGTTTTCTGAAGTGGCCCACAGCTCATTCAGCTGTAAAACAAATTATTTCAAGAGATTCAATATCCCGTCACCGAAGTAACTTGAGATGAGCAATAAATGTTAACTTTGACTTTCATATTTTTAGAACTTGAGCAAAGCCATATTTTTCCTCTCAAACAGGAAATGGATTATTTTGTGTCTTTCTTGAGCTGCAGATGATTTTCTACAAATAAACCTTTAAATAATATAGAAAGCATAGATGCTTAGATTCTATACAGATGATAGAGATACTGTGGTCCTTAAATCATGCTGAAGCTGATATAACTGAAAACACATCTGTTGACAGAAACACTGACTGACACTAGCATTGATGCATCATGCACAGTCAATATCGATATGGCAGACTGGACTGAGTGATTATCAGTAACATGACACAAAAGATGTTCCTGCAATTCCAATAGGTCCCATGGTCAACATTTGAATTAGTGTAATATTTGCTATTTCTGATGTATATCTGAATGCATCTAGATTAGGCAGCAAGTTATAATGTGTGTGGGTGTTTATTTCCAAACACGTGAATGATTGCAAGCATTTCATTTAGTATGTTCCAAACACCAGCTGATATCCTAAACTAGCAGTCTGACCAGAAGGACTTGTTCTACCTGTCAATCAATTAAAATCAAGAGACTTCATTGTTCTTCCAGATAACTTTCAGCAGCGCAGTCATGCACAATGGAAATGTATGAAAGCTATAAACATGTATTGCACTGCGTGACATAACAGAAACACATCATGAATGCCACTAAGAAACATATCTTTGAAAAGGAGATATTAGTTTGTTAAAATTACAGTACAGATACAACATAATTAGACAGTCAATCAACACCTGTAAATGTTGTGTTCAGGATATAATTCAATGCAGTGTCACTGTGAAAACCTTTTCTCCCCCAAAAAGTTCAACTATAAACTGTTTATCATATTTACATTTATGAAATAAAAACAAAAATAATTTTAGGCTGCAGAAAGCAGTTCTTACAAAGATTTGGCATGACGGTAAAATCATTACGAGGTGCAGCTTTCTGCTATTTTGCAAAACTGCTGAATAAAACAGACGATAAATCACTTGCTGTCTTTAGTAAGTTACCTAGAAATTTTGATATGGCGTAGAATCCTTTTGTTCCCAAGGAGAGCCCAATGAGTCTGCTTTGGATGAAAAGTGGCACCCAATTGGACTTTGGTTAAATGCTGGACATCAACACAATCCTTGAGTTTTAAAAATAGTAATATCACGTCCTTGTTTGTTAAAATTGCTTCAGGTCAATCATTAATCAATTTCAGGAGACAATTTGGACAGCTTGAGAACAGAAATATTCTACTATCAAAAACGTTATATGAATGCAGATTAAAAGCGATGAAAATCACGATTACCTGGTCTTTAGTAAACTGTCTCACTGACAGAATATGCTGTCCAACATAATGATGCAACAAAGGGGAACACGGATGAGGGACAGTTTGGACTGCCAGATTCTGTGGTGATAGAAGCCTCGAGACTGGAGGAGGATGTATATAACCATCTTGATTAATGGCATCTTTGGCACATTAAAAACAAATAAGTGTTAAGATATTATTCTACCATTTTTTAAAAATATCTGGCTTATTGCTGTTAAGCAAACATTCAGCTGAACTCTCCACTGATGACAAAATTTGTTTTGAACATATCAACAAATGCTGATTAACTTGTCAGTTTCAAAACAATCCATTTATTGAAGCCATAAAAGACATGACTTTAGCTTTGGAGCCTCAAAATGGGATTTCTGTTCAAACCAATCATACACTTTGGCACCGAGAGGTTCATAGCCAACAGATCACATTGCTGTCACTACCATAAGACATCAAAAGCATTATTACGTTATCAATGCCACCATACAATTATCCATACAGACCTTGTACATAGTACTCAGTTTCTAAAGTTTCTTACCAACTGACTACCCTGCCCTGAATAAGGCTGGGACTGAAAATTGCTTCCAGTCTTTTGCCTGTCGACTTCTGTTTGATGGCATTTTATTTTTCTTTCAGGCAACTGCTGTTCATGGATGTGCCATTCCCAAATCTTCTATGCACATATTTTGTTCCTTTCCTTGATCTATATAATTGCCTTTGACTCTGTGCTATCAATATGTTTGTCATTTAATCTCTATCTTCCAATTTATCACAGACCTTCCCTTGTGTTCTATTTCCGATTGCCTCCTCTTTCACCTTAACACCAGTTATACTTCCTAACAATTCCAAGCACTGATGAAAGATCAGATGTGAAATATCAATTCCATTTCCATCTCCACAGTTGCTGCTTCACCTGAGCATTTCCAACATTTTCTGTTTTTATTTCCGTAATCTCAAGTGTTTGATTTATGAAGCAGTTTGTGCTGCAGTCTGTTTGTGGCAGTTGACTGGAGAATATAATCACAAACATCCAAATCCAATCAGAAACAGCAACCCGTTATCCAACTCAATTTTTAGCAAAATCATCAAAGCCACAAATTAACATTTATAATAGCAGCAAAATTTGTTTAAAATTCTACCAATCATATTTCTGTAATGTATAAATAATGTACAAATGTCTTGTGACAAGCAGACATTTTGGAATATCAGAGTCAGCACTTTGCGGGTTGCAGTTTCAAGACTTTTCTCCCAAATTCTTACACAGCCAGAACAGCTCTTCCTTTTAAAAAAAAAACAAACATTTTTTCAGGAAGCCGTTTAATATACTTTTAGAGGGTAGTTGTTGAGATTGAGAAGCAAAAACTTTAATGTTTAACGTCTGTAGCCTTTCATCAGACCAGAAATGTTTACCAGCTCCTCTCTCAACAGATGCTACCAACTAGTTAATGTTTTCAGAGATAGTAGGAACCGCAGATGCTGGAGAATCTGAGATAACAAGGTGCAGAGCTGGATGAA